CCCCAAAACCCCAAAACCCCAAAACCCCAAAACCCCAAACTATATTCCCTCGATTGAATATAGTACTAATAATGGTTTTTCCCTTTCCACGATTTCGATAAGACTATTTCTGAGGTTCTAGACCAGAATACTTAAAATCTATCTCCAAATTTGTAAACTTGTAGACTAAATCTCTCTTCTTAATGGCTTTTAGAGGAATTACTGTCCATGATAAACTACTCTGAAGCAAAGTTTGGGAAATAAAATTTATGAAATAGTATATTTCTTGACAAACTTCTATCCAACCTCTTCACCAAAGAAGAGTTATGAATGTTCAATTATTGTAAAGAATATCTAGCTTATAGGGAGCCTTTATTCCTGTATGGATCGCTCTAAAATAACCTGAATAAAGTCCTCATAGGAAAATTAAGTTAGAACAGAGAATTGAATCCTACTAGAACTAACCCGAGTATTATTTCTATTGCTAATCCTTTGAAACACTCTTATTAATTAGATATGAAATATTTTATTAAATTTTGCCAAACCCTCTTCATTTTAGAGAGAAAATCAACTGCATATCACCTTAATTTGCCTGTTGGTCTCTGCTCAAACGTAGAGAATATTCGTGAAGCTGGAAATAAGATTTATTCCAGTTTGGCCTTATTTAGAATAAAAATATCGAAGGTTCATATGAAAGAAGCCAAGATTATTAAAGCTCAATTAACTATAGAGTACTACATTAAAATTATGCCAGAATAATAAAAAGAAGCTCATTTGGAATACTACAGACTGCCCTTTTAATAAAGGCTTCAAATGGTTAAGTCGTTCTTGGACCTATATTTCTGAATTTGTCGTTTAAAAATGATTTCCATAACTTGGAAGAAGTTCTTTCTCATAATTATTAGCCTATAATAAACCGTTGTGACCATCTTAGCCTGAGCATGCCTTAATTTCAATTGTATGAACATAATTTGAATCAAACTTTGCTTCAGTCACAGAAGATGACATATTTCTAGCGAGGAGATTATCAGCAGTTCCATAGTATTCTAGACCCAGAAAATCATATTTCGAAACAGGGACACAAAATTTCCTTCTAAAAGTCCTCCTAAAGCCATACTTAAGCTCTGAATTATCTAAAATTACTCTAAATCATTTAGGAAAATTTCTTTCTTAGCAAAACTCAAAGAAAAATTAAGTTAAGAGACTCCATTATGTAAAACTTATTGATGGTAAATTAAGAAAGCTTCGATTAAATATCGATTTATCAGAATTAAAGCAAGAGTCTGAATCATAAAAGGTATACTTGGTTAAGTCTTTGTTTTTGAAATTACGCCAGGCGCTTATAACCCTAGCTGTCTTCAATCCCGAATTGGATGAATTTCGAAGAAATTCAGCAATTAGTGAATAATGTGAGAAGATAAGTTTTGAATAATTTCTTAAAATATAGCTGCTGATAAAGTTAACAGACTTCTTCAAAACCCATCCATATCCCTTTTAGAGACTTTGGAGATGAAGGTGAAGGCAACATAGATTTAGTTATATATGAGCAGTGCAATTGGAAATTCTTGGATTAGTAAGATAGTTTAATAGAAAAGCTCTCCTTTATTAAAGTTATGAGGGAAGCATTGATGAAAGATCTATTTAGCCTCTTCCCAATATTATATCACTAAAATTAACAGCAAGAAAAATTATAGAGAAAGATTAAAAAGAGAAATTCTTATTCTAGTTCCTATCTCAGCATTGATATATCAGCAGTTCTGGCTAAATTTATTACTCTAGAAAGGATGGCTCCCTCATTTCCCCCGATTCAGTATTTATTGAGCTAAAATGAGAGATCCCAAACCCTCTGACGAACATCAAATGCTAATGAAGGATTCTAAACTTTGCTAAAATATAAAATTCCCAGCTCCTCACCAATAATAGCCAACCCAATTTTCTTGAGAGAGGAATTAGAACAATATTTAAGGACAACTATTTATGTTTATTATGTATCTTGAGGTGCTTGTTGTAGTTGCACTTCTGCGTGAACTCCTTTCCGCACTCCTGGCATTTAAACTGTCTGATGTTGTAGTGCATCTTCATGTGCAGGCTGAAGTTCCACTTTTTGTAGAAGACTTTGCGGCAAGATCCGTAAGAGCACATGAACACTTTGTCAGCAGAAGGATCTACGTCTAAATAAAGAGTTAGATAAGTCTGAAAGTTGATAAATTTAGGATCCAAGAGTACTACAATAACTTACTGTTACACTTGTTGTCAACTACATCTCTTCTTGTTGATAATAGTTTTGGGTCAACTCTATTTTGTTCTAATTTCTATAAATAACTTAGAGAGTTCTTGCTAGGAGATGAGAAATAAATTTTCTTTGCTCCATCTGCTCTCAGAGAAATATAAGAAGGCTTGAGAGCAACTTCAATCAATTTGATTATATTTCAGTAAAGAAGGTGTAAATATATGGTTTATCTATCAAAACACCATTTCAATGAGCTTGAGAAGAAGAGGCAATTTCAGATAGAAATAGTAAGCTACGAATACTCAAGCTGACTAGAGGCCCGCTAAATTATACAAAATAGAGATAAAATTGAGCGAAATTTTGTTATCCTACCCAGAATTCGATTTTATACTCTACCACCATCAGCATAAGAGATGAGGGAGATATGTAAATATTTGAAAGGGAAATTGAAGAATTGCGAACAGAGGAACTACTAGAGTTAGGTGGATAAATGAATAAGTTTTATCTCACTATCCAACTCTTCAGACATAATAGACTTGCCAAGAATTAATAACTGCCAGACTTAATATCTATTAAAGAGGAAGGAAAGCTCCTTCTATATAATTGTCTAATTATCTGAAATTTTAATATCAAAGAAAGATATTATTAAGTCGACTCTAAAATTTTATGAGCTGACAGCTCTAGCTAGGAAACTGAGAGTTCCTTTTTTAATAGAATTCAAGGATGAAGAGAAATCAGATATGTTTTCTATAGAGAGACTCTTTCTACCATAATCATGCAGCTATGACTCTAAAACTTAGAATAAAAATCTGCCAGATCTGTTAACATTAAGTATGTTCTGAATTTTTGGCCAGAAATCATGAAGAAGTAATAATAATAATGTTCATCAATTTCAATGACCCCAAAATTTTTCGATTGAGCTTCATATCACTACAAAGCCCAACATACTAATAATATCAAACTCTATAGCAAAAGATTTCCTTACTGACTAGATCATCCTAATTTCTTTACCCATATTTTTAATAATCGAAAGTCTTTTTGAATTATTCAAATTGCAAAGACTATTAGAAGCTATGATACCAAACAAATAGGGTGGAGTCACAACCCCAGCACTAAAATTATCCTTCAGCTTAGCCCTGTCGCTAACCCTAGAGGAGAATTTGTTAATAGCACATCCCTGTCAAATACTTCCACATAATATCAAATTCATCAACTCTTACTATGACTAAAATAAGTAAGAATAAAGCTGCATATTTGCTACAGACATTAAATTAACAAAATTAGGACCTAGGATGATACTTCCAGCTATTTAAAAATCTTAGTGACTGATTGTGGCCTAACAATATAAAATAATTTTATTTTAAAGAGTAGCCAAACGTTTTCATATATTATAGCGTAAGAGACTTACTTATGTTGGCAATACTCATTAGAGGTTAGTTTATAATCATTTAAACTAAAAAACAAGAAGCATAATTACAAAACCTCCTTCTTATACAAATTACTCATGTGTCTTTAATAATTCCACTAAACAAAACACTGGACCAATACATTAATACAAATCTGAATCTTAATACCTGCCTTATAATTTTGTCAACATTTTCTACCCCTAAAGAGACCCCAAAATTCCATACTGCACCCACCTCTCTTCCCCCAATAACACCTATCTTCCCTCAAGAGTTCCCTACCACCCAAAGTTTTTCTGTCAAACAGGCCTAGCCTTCCTGCTTGAGGGCCAAAAGTACTACGGCTTAAGCTAAGAGAAATGGCAGTGTCGATGGAGATGAAGGAGAATGGATTATAGAGAAAGAGGGCCTTAAGAGAACTTTTGGGCTGAGGTTGGAGTCAGAAGAAGCTTTAGGCTGTTGGAATACTAAAAGAGGTGCTTGAAGTGATGGGGTTAGGTATTTAGGGGTGGACGATGTGGTGTGAAGGTATGTCATGCTCGGGGTGATTATCCTAGTTCTTTTGTTTTCAATATTAATAGGTTCGAAAAATCGGTCTGATAAACAGAATTTTTAAAAATTGAGTCATTTGTACTAAAATAAGTCTTCACTTGATTAGTATAGGCTTATAAAGTTATCCTAGTTGATTTTAAAAACTAGCAGCCTTCAAGAGGCATTATAATAAACCTCATTATACACATTTCGGTGATTAGAATTCTTCAAATATTAAGAGTTAAATTTAAGTTGAACCCATGCTAAATAAGGATTCTTCATGAAAGTAATATTAAAGAAATGATAGAGTCCTGCTCAGTCTAAAAGGGGTCATAAAACTGTACTCATTTTGGTAAAATTTATACTTCAGAGAATAGCAACTCACAGTACAAATATTATTGGCGAAAAATCTACTTAGCTAATAAGTTGCAAATTTGTAGATAAATTAAGAGTGCTTGCCTGGCTTCTTAAAATCTAGACACCTCGATTATATGATAGGCTGGAAAACTTTGATGAAATCCTAATTAGGTGAGGAAACATAGAAATATTATGATAATAGAGATTCTGCAAACTTTGGATATTTATAGCCACATAGAAAGTAAATAGTATCCAAAAGAAGCAATAAGATCCTCTTGAGAATCAAATTCACCTACCTTCGAGTCTAAAATTGGATGGTTTATTTTATGTAAAATCGCTGATCTTTGGGAACTTGCTGAAGGTTGGGGCTTTGCTGCTATTTCTCAAATGCAGTAATTCTCCAAAAGAGTATGATAACTCTCAGGGCTTCTGAGAGACTGAGATACATAATTCAATGAAGAAGCAGGCATGCTTTGAGCAAAGTGTTGAGGGTATTGGGAGTAGTATCCTAAATAATCATGAGCATTAAAATAGTTATATCAAAATAAGATTAAAACTCATAGACTTTAGAGATAAGCTTTTTGGGTCTTGTTTATAACAGCTTTCTCTGCACAAGATTTTTCCTCTCACCATATTGGATTTCACTTGCGAACTTACCTTGAAATTGATAGGCTCTATTTTCCATATTATTTCGCTTATTTAAGTAAATCTAATTATTTATTTAACTAATTTTCAGCTGCTCATCCTTAAGTAGGGGTTTTGGGGTTTTGGGGTTTTGGGG